CGATCGATTAAAGTCAAGGATGTGTGGGAGCTGGTTGGGGCTGGAAGGGGGGATCGGGGAAAGCGAGCAGCGGTCTGTAAATTTTAGTCGATATTTCGACGTTGACACTGACGACGTTTCTTCTCTTGTTTCCATTCTTTTTTATTTTTCTTTTTCCTTTTTTGAACTTGACGATTCGCGGTATAAACAGAGTTTTATCAATATGATAAATATTTAGACGTCGAGTGGTCGCTTTATTCGATATTTCTCTTGCGTATGTCGCTATTTCTCTGTTTGCCTGATATTCGATTTGCGGAAAAAAGGAACAGAGAGAGAGAGAGAGAGAGAGAGAGACACGTTTGGATAAATCTCTGACATGTTGACGTTCGTGAGAGAAGAACAGAGCCTGGCACGCTCATTCTTTCTCACTCTCTCTCTCTCTCTCTCTCGCAGCCGTGCAATATCACGAAAGTACTCGACGTACCGTTATGCGATAAACCGAGATCGTATATTGACCTTATTACGCTTTATATCCTACGTGGACAATGGCCGTAGTTTAAAGTGCATTATGCAATACGTTGAAACATAACGGACAAAGTTTCCGTCCGTATTCCGGGTATGAGCCGCGTATTATCGGTTGAATAATTCAGTCCATTTCAATGTTTCACAGTGACATAAAAGGACGTAGTTATGGAAATGAGCGAGTTGAAATTTCATAGGAATCCGATTATTGCCTCGAATTCGACGGGATACGTGTCGTTACTTGGCCGGTGACGCTGAAAAATATGATGCGTCGTTATGCGCGCGCGCGCGCGTTGTGTCGACGCGGAGATATCCGCGTCGACACATTTCCCTCTCGTTTCGGCTCGTTAATTCGGCCGTCGTTAAACGGCGTCGGTCCTGGAAATTGGCGAAAAAATTCATCGCGAGCCCGTTCGCCGCGCGACTTCCTCAGTTGACTCTGCGGCTAATGATATCGGCGGACATGTTGAACGGCGCCCATCGTGGGCGCAGTCGTAGATTGTCATCAGCTATTAAGTCCTTATGCACATCAGCTCGCCCTAAGGGATTGCGACAGTTGCCGCCGTGGACGTGAGAGAGCGCAAGTTTAAACGCCATAAATCATTCCCTGACACATTTATGCCAGTCGCGTGCGGCGGGTTTGCCACATTACACTCAACTTCCCAACTTATATAAATTTCATACCGACCAAGCCGCGCTTTTCGGAGGCCCCCGCGCGCCCGAGAAAGTGCCGAGTAATAACGCAAGAGACATTTCCGGGTCAAAAGCTGCGGCCCGTCGTCCCCTCGGCCGCGATTATTTCTTCCGAACTCCCTTGTCTATTGTTACGCGACAAATACAAGCGCCTGGCGCTCCCCATTGTCTGCCCCCGGTATTCAGGGGTTTCATGGCACAATTAAAACCAGCATTCCGTCGGAATTAAAATCGTTGTCAACTATATGGCAAATATTGTTGCCGCTTTTCGCCGTTGTTGCCGCGACGTGCGCGCGGCCAAGTGGAAAACAAATGATAATAAAAAACGACAAACCCGGAGGAAAGAAAATTATCTAGAAAATGCGAGTTTAATTGCGCGAACACGCGCGCGTAGTATCAATTTCACGCTTATTGGCTTTTGCAGTGATAATATTTAAAACAATTATTATCTTATCTCTGGTCGTGTATATATATGTGTGTGTGTGTGTGTGTGTGTGTGTGTGTGTGTGCGTGCGATCGCATTCGCATTTAATTTATGGAAATGTGAAGCAATTTGCGATAGAAATGAAGCGCGATTTCCTCACAAATTTATTGACATCATGTTCGACAATGAAATTACTTTCAGGACTGGCCAACGGAATTCAATTTTACGCCGCGTTACTCCCGCGGATCTCTCAATTTTCAGTTTGTGCGCAGTAGATCATGAAAGCAAACAAAATTAACCGCTGCTCTCCGACCCTGTGCCGTAGTGCGATATGTGTTAATTTGTCAAATATGCCGCAAGCGCGAGCCGGTGCGAGCGAGTACTGCGTGCGTGAGGTGTGCACGTTTTTCGCGAGCACGTTCACGGAGATTCGTCGTAGTCGTGCGCGCCTAGAGAGAGAGAGAGAGAGAGGGGAAGAGGGAGAGCTGCGAAAAAAAATGTAACGGGAGGGAAACGCGACAAGAGGAAAGGCATAAAATCGCGGCGGGCGAAACGGGAACGGCGAAATGTCTTCGGAAAGTCTTGCTTGCGCGGTCAAAGAAACGAGTTGCGTAGCAAACTGCTGATGTTTTATGTATACGCGGACCACAGCCGACGACGTGGGTATCGCGGATGCTGATTTCGCCATAAATATTTAATGAGCGATTCGTAACGAAGCCTCTCGTTGTCCGACATTATTCACCGGGCATTCGCTTTTTCCGCGCGTGCCAATTAAGAAACATAAATAATGGAGGCGCTCATGAAGCTGCGCAAGGATTCGCCCGCGGGGCGAATTTGCGAGACTTCCTTCTCCCTCCCCTCCCCTCCCCTTCCACCGTTTACCGAGAGGCTCAACAATATGTACCAATCAATTATTCAGATTTTTTCGGTGCTCTCAGACGTTGGCGTTACGACAATTCGTCGTGTGTGCGTGTGGGCGTGCGCCTGCGCGGCAAGATGGAATATCGCGGGTGCTATTCGCGTAAATTGTCGCTTCGATTCCGAAGTGATCGACATGATAATCACGGGAAGAGGTAATTGATTAAAAAATTAACCTCGATTTATAACGTTCGTACGGGAGCGCGCTCGTAAAATGTTGATATCTTTTACGCGATTACGCGTATTAAATGTGTGTATATTAATATAAATCGGTGTGTGTGATGTACTTCATCGGACATAATAATTAATTTGCATTCCATTTCCATTAGCTGCTTGATGCTTGCAATATTTCAAAGTATACCGGCTATAAATAGCTATTAATTTTTCGTTATTACTCTACGGAAGTTTCAGGACGATTAAATACGATTACGTGGGAAAAAAAGAGGAAGGGAGGGAGGGAGGGAGGGATGGAGGGAGGGAGGGAGGGAGGGAGGGAGAGAGAGAGAGGGGTGACGGGTGAGAATGAGTGAGAGTGAGAAAGAGAGAATCGAGGAAGTTAATTTAAAAAATAATTCTCGCTATCGGAGTAAACAGAGGAACCCCCATTTCGCTTTATCAAAGGTAAATCAATTTGCATTTAAATTAAACCCTCCGCGAAAACGAGAGAGAGAGAGAGAGAGAGAGGGGGAGGGAGGGAGAGAGGGGTGAAGGGGACAGGGAGAGGGAGCGAAAAGAGGGGAGTTGTGATGTTTGAGAGAGTACAAACGATGGATGAGGCGGGGTGGGGGGGACCATTTGATAATGGAAACCGCTTCTTAAGGCGCGAATCGCCTGTAAACACTTCGTCCTGTCGTTTCCCTCTCCATATTTTCCAGAGCCATCGGGATCGAACCGATTTGTTAAAAGCGGCTCGCGCTGGTCGCAAATTAAGCGATTTTGGGAGAGAATACGGGCGCGGATTCAATCTCTCGGATATCACTGGTATTTAAGAGTAAAATTCGATGTATGAGCGTTACGTTCGGGTAACCAGAATGGTGACGGCGGAGGTGGCAACTCGGGGGTAGTAAGAAGCACTTAGCTCAGGACGTGTTCCTATTTCGTAATGCCGTTGGAATTCTACCTACCCTTCTCCAGTCCGTCCTCGTCTTCCATCCTCGATAATACTACTACTGCGCGTACCATCGCGACGACGACGACGCCGACGACGACGACGACGACGACGACGACGACGACGACGACGACGACGACGACGACGACGACGACGACGACGACGACGACGACGACGGACGACGACGGACGACGACGACGACGACGACGACGACGACGACGACGACGACGACGACGACGACGACGACGAGGACAACGACGACGACGACGTCGACGGTAACTCGCACAGTGACATTAAATCGACTTTACTCGCTCGCTACTCATTTACCGCGACGCGTTCGTTCCCGTTCGTATACGCGAAACCGCGACGGGTAAGGCAAAGCGAGTCGATTTAACACATCGGCCGCACCATCGGCGCCCGCTATCGGTGACCGGCGCCTATGATTTCTCGTTAATTTGCGCGTAAAGCGTGACTAATTGCGCCCGGTGAATTAAATCCTGCGGTCGATAGGTCGCTGAGAAAACCAACTCATGAATATATATACACGTTTGTCGCAGCGCGATATATTTGTAATATACATTTGTTTGTATTCGTATTTGCGCGCACATTTATGTATTTCAGCGATATATTTATTTGTCCTCACGCGTATTGCGTGACGTGTACAAGTAATCAAGTATTCCGATATTAAACACATTTCAAAGTCTATAAACAAAGTTTTTATTTTTAATCAACTATACAATAAATTTTGTTGAGTTTACTCACTTTTACTCAAACAGCGCTCTCTAAGAGAGTACTGTTTATGCATTAAACAATTAAAGTAGGAAGACACTTGCGAATGCTTGGTTACGCTTGGACGTCTCTAAGATCTATCATCATAATTTCGGTTTGCCTAAATTTTAATGAAGCTCACGGTCACCTCTCGTGTAACGCCACCGTGGATAGTCGATGAGACCACGGCGATCTGTCGTCGACATTTCGTTTGTATTCAGTTTACAGGCTCTATAAAATTTCCGCGCGCACGCGATCGCTGCAGTTCCGTGCAATTCCAGCGTTCGACAAAGTGGACGGAAGCAATCTCGTTGGAATTTGCCGGAGTGCAGGAACAAATAACTACCTGAATTAAAGAAACGTCCGTGTGGACGCATCGCGTCGTCCGTGAGCGTCGATCGAGAGAGTGTCGCGGTCGAATTTGGCCGGCGGCGAAGAATTCGTTCGGTCCGGTCGAGCGCGAGGCGAAATTAGCGGTCTTTCGCGCGGCGAGCTTATCGCTCTCGGCGTCACGAAGTGGCAACGCAAAAACCGGCCGCGCCAACTGCGAAACTGCAGGGTGACGTCGATGTTGTTGTGTGTACTCACTGCATATGTAGCGTCGCAAGCGGCTTGTCCGAGAAGAGCACGACCGGCCGGTCGAAGCGTTGGTTACGACCGCAAACGCGAGCGCTGCCTTCGAGCTGCAGCCAGCCGCCCTCGCACCTGCAAAACAAGAGGACGACGCTTCCGGTTAGCGGCCATTATCTCCTTCCGCGCAATTTGCTAATTAGTTTCGGCTAATAGATTCTCGATCCGACGTCTCGCGCCGCGCACGCGCGAGACCGCGCGAGTCAACCGTCGCGTCGTGAAGATCGCCGTGAAATTTCGCGAAGGTGAGAGAGCACGCGAATTTTGTCTCGCCTCGCCGGCCGGCCGCGCCGTTGCGCTGAACACCAGAATGCACTCGGATTAAGTCGGTCGTTACTTTACCGAGTATACCGAACCGGGAGCTCATTATTTATTGCGCTTACTAATGCGACTTCATCTCGCCGAATCCCGGAAAAATTACGAAACAGCTGCGGCTCATCATGGCAGGCATGAGAGAGGGATGAGCGCGCGCGCGCGCGCGGAGGCTTCACGCTCGGGAATGTTTTACTTCGCGGAACTACGCCGTCTACGCTTGATTTGGCTATACGTGCTCCGAATTCGGCTTTATCCTCTATAACGTCAGCGCCAGCGGTGGCAACTACGTTGCGCCGGATTAATTGAATTCTGCTGGAAATCATATTTTGGAACAATTCAATATGCAAAGTTTGATGTTGACTGCGAATTCTCCGGCGCGCACGGTAGCGCTTACACTCGGCTCGGATTAACTCGCGCGAAGTGCGAGATCGAATTTAGATCGCATCGGCTTGCGTGTCTCGTTGCACGCGCTTTTGATTTCTTCCGCGACGCACGAGCGCGCGCCTGCATACGTAAGCATCGCGCGAGCGCAAAAGTTTTGACCAGTTTCTCAAAGACGCGACTGATCCAGCTTGACGACAGCGCTTGCAGATACATAGACGGATAATATACTGAAGATACACTGTAAAACTAGGCATCGGAACATGTGCGTTAAAATCGAGTGTTGGTGCGTGATTTTGACACATTAGCTGGCGTTAAGGCACTATAAGTGCAAAATAATTCGTTTTCTGTGACAAAAGTGTGTTTTAATGACACACTCGTCTGTTAATAACACACCATGTAACACACTGCAGAAACGCGTTACTTTCCCTCAACAATCCCGTGACACACGTAGAGCGTGTTTTTTAAACACAGAATGATAATCGAAATATACTGGGAACACACTTGGATGATATATTGGATAACACACCAACAGTAATTCTGTTAACACACGTTTAAACGAACACACATATGTGTATTAAAAAAGATACATGCGAGAGAGACACAAATCGACAAAATCGGCGGTTACTCGCTTTCAAAAAAGTATTGTATCTGTTGTATCTATTGAACGAATTAATGCATTAATAACCTGCTTTCATATTATCACAGACTAAATCATTAATTATATGTTTAAACGTAATATGTTAAATAACGCGTGACTTAAAATGGAAGAAATGTGTCGGAAAAGATTCATTCATTCACACGCTTGTGCGTTTCAAAATAACACACTTGGATTTGCTCAATTCACCTTCACAACACCCTTGGGGTGTGTTATTTTGATATATCTCCATAACACATTTGAGATATGTTATTTTAATATACTTTCATAACACACTGAAGGTGTGTTATTTCAATATACCTAACCATTAACACACATACAAACGATTATATTCAACACATACATAAATATGTTCTTTTAACATACGTATATGTGTCAATTTAATTTGCTGATTTCGCACGTCTAAAGTGGAGACATACTTTAACACGCTTCGAGCATGTTACCGTAACACACCTCAGTTCACAGTGTAACGGAAAACAATGGCGATTACTCGCGGTAGAATGAGAGAATCATTTTTAATAAAACGGCAGCCCATTCTTCTATCAAAAAATCCGTCAGAACTTCCGCACTCACCCGGTATGTACCCGTTTTAACCGCTCGCGGTGGAAATATTAGCGGCGCGTGACGAGCGTTTCTCGGAAGGTTTGACAATGCGGGGCCGCCGCTAAAAACACACACACACACACACTTCCTCCATTTCGTCCGCTCGCTCGCCTTGGGCCTCGAGCGGATTTCGTCGCTAATTGTCTTTATCAAGGGGGAAGGGGACAGATCCTTGATAATAACGTTCCCCGATAACGACATTTCGTGCGGTAGACGCCTATACGCGGGCCCCGGGAAAACGATTGCCAGCGCGAGGGTCGCGCTGAAATTACTTCTTCGATTACAGGCGACTTCAAAGGATTCGTTTTCCCGAGGCGTCGTCGTCGACCGGGATTCTCCGGGGTAGGGGCGAAATGAGAGAGAGAGAGAGAGAGAGAGAGAGAGAGAGAACCGGGGGGTGAGATGGAATCGGGCGGTTACGCAATGGGTAATACGCAACAGGGGAATCATGCTGATTCAATCACAGGCTCGTCGTCTCGCCTCACGTTCGCGAGAGGGAAAACGACGAAATGCACCATAACACGCTCGGTTGATTATTATCCGTCAAGATTCCCGGGGATTTCGCGGTGTCGGCGACCTTACCGCGATTTCACGGTATCGGGGGAGATTACGCAGATTACACGGTATTGTCGATGAGCGACGCTGCGGCAAATTTTCGCACGGGCCCCTCTCGTGCAATTTCTCTCAGCGCGTCGCGCGCTTCCGCGCGTCGATCGAGGAAATTTAAATTTTTATCCGTTTTTTATTTGACGCAGCTCATTCATTCGTTCCCGCGCTCAAGCGGCTGTTTGGTGCTCCAAGAAGAAAAATTACTACTTGACTCGCGTAGAACTCGCGAGAACTGTCCTGACGTGCGAATCCAGCGATATCCTCCGCCGGTGTTTTTGCGCGCATGCAAAAATCTCTGTCGTCATTCTCTCCGTCGACCGAGCGAGCGAGCGTGTGAAGATTTTGGTATGCGCGGCGCGCTCTCGCGACGGCACGTCTCTCCCTCTCTCTCTCTCTCTCTCTTCCTCGTCAAGGTGTAATAACATAAACTGTTTGTTCGCGCGACTCGCTTAAGCTTATCACGTCACCTCGATTCTGAGACGCGGTTTGGCAGGATTTAATGGATACTCGGTATCGGGATGCCCGGGGCATCTCTTGCTTAACATCAATAACGTTAATTAACATATCAACGAGACAATCGCGGAGACGCGCGTCCCCCGCGGCAATACCTTCGCCGAGTGCGAGCGAGAGAGCGAGCGCGCGCGGCCCTTTATCCTCGCTGGCTCGTACAAATCTTGATACAATTCGCGCGGCGTGCGGACGTTCGCGTGCCATTGTTGCGTGAAGGGACGGATATATGCCGCCATAGTTCACTATTGTATCGAGCGTACGCTTATGAATTAATTGCTTGCGGGCTTCGATGGCTACCGCGGACCCGATCGCGCCGCGCGCGATTCTCCAATGTCTCCATTGGCGGCGACGCGTCGTCGGACGCGACATACATCTCCCTGTAACCCGGTCGGCTGAAACTTTCGATCCGTTGACATGCCGCGAGAGAACGGTGGTGCGTTCGATCGCGCTTTGTCTGCTCTGTACCTCCCCCGAACGATTCACGCGACGATGCTCGACACTCGGGGAACTTGACGCGAGAAACGATCTCCTTCTCGCGTACGCGCGCTATGCAGTTTTAACATTCCGTGAGTTGCGCAATACGTTTTTCCGTAATTTCAGAGTCTTTGGCTGAAATTACGAAACGATTGTACAAGCCAGCGCGCGACTGTGCGTTTAATCCGCGGGAAGGTAATAATATTTTTTTCTCGAGTCAAACCGCCAATTCTTATTCTGATTTAACGGTCGACAATTAACATTAACCTCTAGAAGGCCGGCATTTGAGATACAAGATTCCCCGAAGAAAATCGATGAAAAATGTACTTTATATCGTATATTCATCGTACTTTATATCGTATACAGAGTACTGATCACGGAGACCACCACTTAAGTGGTGGTCCCGGCCCTGGGGGGTCAAAGAAGACAATGTTAAAATCTTCAAATTTGAAAAGAATAGGTTTCTAGAGGTTTTTGAGGTCGCTGAATAAAATGGAACTGTCAGTTTTTGTAAATTATGAGAATTTATAGTTATATCGCGCAAAAAATTCCGAGAAATGATCCCTAATATGATAATGCTCTCCTTTAGCGTTATCCAGAGCCAACGACGTGGACATAGAGAGTGTGCAGTGCATGCGTGTATGTGTGAGCACGTAATTATTTATTTACATATTTCCGCTAACTCGTGTTTATGAAGAAAAAAATTGCAAATAGGGGGGAGGGCAGAGGGTACAAATTTTTATCTGGATATGTGAATATCTATACACACGTAAGTAGTGTGAATGTTGAACGTGAATGCAACCAACTGTTGTCTACCATTCCTGCAGTGGTTTTTCGGCTCTCTGAAGGTCAATATTAATATTAACCCTCTAGTTAAGACTGACGTAAATCTGCATATTTTTATGACACGGCAGGTTAGCGACAAAGTAATTCATATAACGAATAACAGCTAATGCCCCGCGTATAAAATTGCGAACTCGACGAGGAAGATGTGTTCTCGTGGCGACGCGTCTGCTCGAACAGAAAAGTCGAAACGGCGTCTAGACGACATCGAGCGTGACGTTCGCCCGAGGAAACAAGGAAAAGGATCGCTAAGCCGATAAGTAGAGAGCAGAGTCGAGATCACAATGAAAAGCGTGTGCGGCTAGCGAGGACGGTCTCAACAAGAGACGTCATAAATAATTGAATCGCCACGTGACGCCGGAAGATGGCCATCGTTACTTCCAGCCCGTCGTCTTTTCTCTCCCCCCTCCCCTCTCTCTCTCTCTTTCTCTCCTGGTCCTAGGAAGAGAGATATTCATTTTTGATGCGGCTTATTCACGTAAGCCTTCGGCTTTCTTTTTTTCCTCTCCCTCCCTTTCTGTCCTCCCTCGCTTGCGGAACTTTAAATCGCGCCAGGGACAAGCACCCGCGATGCGATTCGACAGAGAGCCTGCTCCTTACTCGAAACACCGGCGAGACGGGTGAACGCGGGGTATATTATTGGAGAATAAAACGTTACAAGGAGGGCAAAGAGAAAATGAAG